GTGGGCGCGCGCGTGTTCGGCTCGTTTACACCCCTATGCAGAACATATGAGAAAACAATTCTTATGTATTTACATTTGATTTCGAATTTATAAATTTGTTTTTTTTTTTCAAAATTTTCATAAAATCGACGCAAAATTATATTTTTAAAAGCTAGAAAATACAAAGATGATGGGGGTTAAAATCAGACCTTGGTGTCTAGCATGACGGCGCAGAAGATCTTGGTATTGCGAATGGCGATCTTGAGGTTCTCGAGAGTCTCCTGGTGATATTCATGGGAGCCGTGGGAGAAATTGAATCTTGCCACATTCATGCCTGCCCTCAACAACTTCTCCAACATCACCACCGACCTCGACGCCGGCCCGAGCGTGCACACGATCTTCGTCCTCGCCACCGTGCCATCGCTCGGCAGCTGCCTCAATATCTCTTCCATGTCGACATTCGTCATCTCAACGAATCAATCCTTCGTGACGAAAACAACAACACGAGGAGATCTTAGAACCTTATAATGAGAGAAGAAAGGAATTGGGTGGAGAGGCCAAGCTCTGTCGCCCTATAAAAAGGGGAAGAAAACCGCTTCTCCGCCACTGGTTCATGGAAATGATATGTGGAGGTTGATCGAGCCTAAAGATAGCAATAAGATTCGTGCAATTTTTTAGGATATTATGTGGCTCGCGCACAGGCAGACATGAACCGACGAGTTGGCGGGCGTTGGATGACTGGAACGTGGTGATCGGACGGTTTAGATTGAAAGACGCCTGGAAGGTTTTTATATTGGGTCCGGTGGGCCCGAGCGTTGACTTTGTTGAAGCGAGAACTTTGTTCCGCGTCGCAGGATGCAAACGACATTTCAGATGGGGAATATTCTGTAATTATCCCTTCTTATTTACAGGATCAAATGTGAATCTTGATGCACTTTAGGTAAAAGATCTTCCTAATTCAAATTCATGATCATCAAAGCTCTAATTTAAACAAATTTAATCTAAGACCGGACATCTCGACAATACAAGTCCAATGTCATTGAAAGTGATTCAATCTGATTCTAAATAAGATTGGATCAAACATTTGAGCTGTAGCCGTTTTTTTTTGGTACATTAATTAAAACGTCAAATGATCATAAAATTTGGCATGCATAAAATCAAATTGAGCGGCTTGATGAAACGAGCCCAATAAAATGTATTTAAGAGGCCGTTAAAACACTTGTGTTAAAAAAAATAATATGTGAGAAAGGAATTCAATATGAATCATCTGATCAAGTGTTTTGATATTACAACTAAATTTACCAAAGTACCCCTCTAAAAAATCATAAAAAGGCTAACATTCTTCACTTAAATGGTGATAGAGGGAGGGGAAGAAAAGATTTAGCCGTCGAAGCATAACTCTTGAAAAGAAATACAAGGCCGATGATTACTAATAATCGTTCATCACTGTCAACAACAATTGTATCCACAAACTACAACCTTTGTAGTCAACAATGGATGTTGTAGCCACCAACTACCATTATTGTAGCCAATTGTGATTGTTGCAACCTCCAACTATGATTTTTTGTGACTAACTTTGACTGATACGATCACAAACTATAATTATTTTAACAAAACTAATGTCGTGGTAGCCAAACTCCTTTTAAATAGTTGTGTCTGTCAAATTTTGCAATATCTTCTTCCTCAACTCAAGAGAAGAGTGGACATAAGTACTTACTAATTTTCTAGCAGATTACTTCGACTGACTAAGCCTCGTGATTTTTTTCTTCCTTTCTAGTGTTAAAATAATTATAGTTGACAACTAAAGCATAACTTCTAACCGGAAGTGCAAGACAGATAGTTTTTTCATAACTTCGTTTTACAAACCGCAACCATAATTCCTACCTATTTGGCTGCTGCTGCTGCTGCTGCTTTTTCCTCTAACTAAATGCTTTCCCTCAAACTAAATGCTGAGCAACAACCACAACAAGTATATTTAAAGGACAATTACATGCGGACCAACCAAAACATTGATATTTACAAATTAGCCGTCCAAATGATTTTGTCGAACCGATGTATTTACATGTGCCACTATCAACATGGATTGGGATTTTACCATGAATTTTGATATTTGAGTGAGAATTTGAAATTTTGATGAAAGAAGGTGGTTGATTTGTAAAAAAGCAAGTTTCAGAAAGTCTGTATGTATCCCCTCCATAAATATTCTATTTCTTTCTGCCTCATCCATTGAGCTCAACAAACAAAACACAAACATTCAAATAAGAACAAACCAACTTGGAATAAATCAGATATAGCAAAAAGGCTGCCTTGAGCACATCAAAATCACTTAATTATCATTGATGAAGTTATAATCATGTTCAGAAAGTTTAAGAAAGTATCAAATCAACTGAAAAATAAATAAAAAAATAAAAACAATTCCCTGCTCTGTAAAACAGAAAAGAATAAACACAACAAAACTTTTTCAATAAACATGGAGCTTCCTGCATGGCACAGGCTAGGCTGGGCATAAACAAAGAAGGTTAAGAACCTGTAAAAGTTTGAGCAGATTCAGGTCAGCTTCTTTGATCCCTTCACAACCAAGACTTTGATGAGAGAAGCAATGCCGATGCGAAACAAAGCAACCACCGAATCGCCGGGACTGCATAGCTTCCAATCGACCGCCGATTTTAAAGCAGCATCCACAATCACTTCCGTGGACTCCGCATCCACAGCTTTCGCAGAGCCTTCCATGAAAGCTAAGAATGAATTGATTATGTTCATGTACACATATATCTTCACATACATGCTTCAACCCCTTCATCTGTCATCTAACCAGACGGAAGGATTTAATTGATTGATGTAGTATTCAATTCCCTCAAGAAGACCGTGCATCTCTTCGTCATAATTTCGTTCGGAGCAAGCATCGACGAACTCTTCCTATAGCTCTGGCGCACAAACGTCGATTCTTGTTTCGATTTCCAAGCGTAAACCACCCAAATATTCAATGCCAAACTCCACCCTCCAGACCTCTGTTGAATCCATGGGAAGAAACCTAATTTTATGAATACATGCTAGAAGATTTCCAAGATCTAGGTTTGCCCATGTAATTCCAACAATATAGCTAGGAGTTTGCATGTTAGACAATGCCCATATTAATAATGATGTAAAGAACCATCATTTAATGAGTATATCAACAAAGAGATGCACTCATTGGCAATTCCTCTTCACTAAAATATCCCAAATCTCCCATTAAATGATCATAAGGTGCCACTCCAGTATCAGGGAAATATCCTTCTTCCTTCATGTGTTTAGTTAGCCATCTCAACTCAACATATATATCCTCAATCTCTGGATGAAGAAGCTCCCCGATGACAAAAACATGAACCCTGCTCTTCATTTCTATCCAACTACATCCAGGTTCCTTATTCACCCCTCGCAGCTTCATCAATCTCCTAACTCTCTCCACATCATCCCGACGATTCCACGAAGCGTATATATTTGACAACAAAATGTACGCAGAAGAATCTGTGGAGCCCAACTCCATCAACCTCTCCCCCGCATACGCTCCAAAATGGAAATTCTTCTTATTTCTACACGACCCCAACACGATGCGCCACAAACACATCCCATGATCCATAGGAACCGATTCAATGAACTCTCGGGCTTCCTCGAACTTACCTGCACGAGTAAGCATGTCTACCATGCAAGCAAAATGCTCAATTTTCGGTGCCAAACCATATTCATCTTGCATTAATCTAAAATAGCTCCAACCTTTCTCAACTAGGCCAATGTGGCTACAAGCAAAGAGGACATTAATGAAGGTCACATGGTCTGGCTCTGTGCCTTCCAACCTCATCTCTTCAAAGAGGTTGAGGGCATCGACTCCACGACCATTTTGAGAATAACCAGATATGATCGAGTTCCATGCAACAACGTCCTTCTGAGGCATCCTTCTAAATACATGGCCGCATTCTTCGAGGTTTCCACACTTTGCATACATTGTAGAGAGAGCGCTACCAATAGGTATACCAATACCAAACCCATGTTTAATAGTACGCGCATGGATCTGCTTTCCGTGCTCGAAAGCCGCAAGGCTCGAACAAGCACGTAGTGCGCTCGCAATGGTGAGATTGTTAGGCAAAAGGCCATCACTTTCCATTTTATTGTACATTGTGAGAGCTTCTTCATGCTCACCATTCTGCACGTAAGCCGATATCATTGTCGTCCAAAGAACAACATCAACCTCTCGTAACATATCAAAGGCCCTTCTCGCATCTTCGATGCGGAAGCATTTCGCGTACATATCAACCAAAGCACTTTTAACATAAACTTGAGTTTCAAAACCCAATTTTAGAATGTAACAATGAGCTTCAATTCCCTCGGGTAACAATGATTGATCACCGCAAGCATTGAGGATGCCAACGAAAGTGAACTCTGTCGGGCTTACATCATTAGAGTGCATATTGCAAAACAACTGCAAAGCCTTCAAAGAATCCCCATTTTGCGCATATCCGGTAATCATTGCAGACCAAGTGATTGGGCTCTTATTATCCGACGACATAAAAATCACCAATGCCTCATCCAAGCAGTGGCACTTTGTGTACAAAGTAATGAGAGAATTGTCAACAGGGATAAAAGAAACCAATCCGTTCTTAATTGTGAGATCATGGACCTGTCTTCCCATATGTAAGAATTCTAGTGAAACCAAAGCGCTCAGAACGCTCGTAACGACAAACTCATTCACACTACATTCATCCTCCACTACCATCAGCCTGAAAAGCTCAAAAGCCTCAAAACCATCCCTATTAGAAGCATATCCAGAAATCATAGCTGCCCAAGATACAGAATTCTTCTGAGGCATTCTGTCAAACACCTTCCGGGCATCAGATAGAAGTCCAAGTTTACAATACATGTTAAGCAGAGAGCTCCCAACAAACACATCAGCCGAATTATCAGTCTTGATTGCCACGCAGTGAGCCTCCATGCCCCATCCGGCCATTTCTAGAGAATGCGAAGCGGCGGAGAATACTCCCGCAAAGGTGAAAGCGTTGGGACGTGATCCACCATGGGCGACCATACGCCGGAAGAGATCAAAAACAGCAGCAGAGCCGGTGAGTCCCAGCTGGGAGTAGCTGTTGATAAGGCAGTTCCAAGAGACTACGTCCCAACACCCAGCTCCCATGTCTTCGAAGGCCATCGCGGCGTTGGAGAGATGGCCGCATTTAGCGTACATGTTGACGACGCTATTTCCGACGAATCTGTCTTCCAAAGAACCAATTTTTATGGACAAAGCGTGGACGGAGCGCCCGGCTTTGACGATTCGCTGGTCCGTGCAGCGGAGGAGAAGGCTGAACAGTGATGGAGTGGAATGCCGCATCGAACGCGCGGGGAAGGAGCGCAAGGAGGCAGGGAGAGTTCGACCGAAGAGAGATAGAACATTGCATTGATTAGAACTCGATTCCTTCGCCGACGACAGTAGCGCGGGAGGCGGCGGCGGCGGCCTCAAAGTGTTTTCAACTTTCTTTCCGGCCCAGCTTTTGGGAAAAAATATTCCATCAATACCTTCATCATTACTCCGATAAGGGCCCCTCCCATATATGCACACAAACCCATTTTAGTAAACAAAAATTAATTTAATATATGTGTGGATCTATCTATACACGTTGCAAAACTTAATTGAAGTCGTGATGCAAAACTGTATCATAACTCTTAAGATAGAAGAGAATGTTAGGTGTGGAGTTCATATGCATGGAAAGTGAATTTTAATCATATTGTATTCATAAGTACAATCATGAATGCAATCTTCTATTATATGAATGTACTGAAGTGTGCCTGTATGCAGACTTCACACCAAATATTTTTTCCCTCGAGTGAAGCCTCCATTAATTTGATTAATCTGTGCATATATAATTTAAATTAAATAACAAAATTGAATTTTAAATTAAAATAATAATAATAAGATCCACCAAAATTTTTGTTTAAATCAATTTAGATTGAATCGAATTGATATATGATTCAGTTTAGTTGATTCGGTTTGGAGCAAGCCAAAATAAAATTGAATTTTAAATTAAAAAAATAATAATAAAATCCACCAAAATTTTTGTTTGAATCAAATTAGATTGAATCGAATTGATATGTGATTCAGTTTAGTTGATTCGGTTTGGAGCAAGCCAAAATTTAATATTGGCCTGAATTAATATTCTATTTTAAAATTAAAAAATTTAATAACTTTTTTTTTTCTTCTTAAAATCTCTATAAAATTTAAAATTTCAAAGTTACCTAAAATAATTAAATCATATGCTTGATTTATTTTATTTTTCAAATACATTTAATTTTTTAATCTTAATATTATTTGATTTTTCGATTTCTTTTAATGACTATTAGAACTGAAAATAAAATCTTAAATTTTTTTACAACTAAAAATTGAATGGTTATTTTAAAACAGAACTAAATTAGTCCAAGAACTAAATTGTTATTTCCAAGTACCTGCTTATGGTCTCTGTGGAGCGTTGAAAAAGCTCAGAAGCAGCACAAATGGACTCATTGTATGATAGAATAAAAAACGAGATAACTAGAACTTCTCTGGATGTGAAGCGAGAGATCCATGCAAACCATGCTTCTACTGCAATTCATCAAGCAAATCACAGAAAATATGTTTCAACATTCAGAACATGCTGTGAATTATGCTTGGATGCGTTTCAAGTAGTTCGCCAACCCATTTGTCACCCACAAATGACATTGTCTCACGAGGGCTCTTATATAAATTTCTATGGTAATACTTATTTGTGGTTAGCATCATTGCTATCTCAATTATTTGTATAATTCTCTCTTCATTTCGTGGGTCCATCTATTTAAAAGATGTGTCTTTAAGTTTTAATATTAAGCATAGGTTATCACAGAGGTGCGTGTAAGTACTAAAAAGAGTCCTAGAAGAAGTGCCACCACTCTTATTACAAACAAAAAATCCAAAATAGTTGTGACAACTAAAGAATTACAACTAGGTAGTGTACATCTATAAGAAACAACGAAGGTAGAGAATCCGCCGTTCTAGCACCAGGGTAAAGAAAGTTTCCCGCTTATTTCGGTCCTCCATAAGTTCTACAACAAATAAGTTTAGGGGCATGTCATCAAAACTCTCTGGAACAGAGTTTAGCAGCTTCAAAACATCAGTTGTAGTAAGGTATATATGCAGAGAGTTGTGCTAGCGCTAAATGCCATATATTTACAATAGCAGAAAAACCAAATTCTAATGGACAATTTTTTTACAGAACAAACACTGCTCCTAAATTATAGATCTAACATAGAAATTGAGATATTTACAATATAAAAAAAAATCAAATTCTTATGGATGTTTGCTCAAAATAACCAGCACTGTGCTTAAATTACCTCCATACTATATTTTCAAAAAAACTAACACTGCTCGTGAATATCAAAACCCACCAAGTCAACAAAGGCACCAAAGTACGTAAACATCTAAAAAACCCAAACGGCAAAACAAAAAACATAACTAAGAAGATAATAAAGTAACAAAATACTGCAATCAATTGACTAAAAAAATGTGAGGCGATAAGCCAAAGTACATATGGAGAAGAGACACCTCAACAGCTGAAGAAAAAGGTCAATGTTATCCTAAAACCGTAGCGACAGAGAAGGAGGCGGGTGGTGGAATGGAAGGAAAATCAAGGGTAATATCGAGAACATGGGGATGTATAACGACAAATTCATGAGAGTAGCAAAGAGATTTTGCAACCGAAACGGCGGCGGAGCCGCGGAACGCATCGGCTCTCCCACTTTCCCCCTTTCTTCTTTCTGCGGACGACCAACAACGAAAAATAGGGCAAAAGCCGAATGCCAGACGCGTCATTTCGCATTTTGACACCAAAAAGCCACGAAAACGACACCCTGCTCTCAACAAAAGATTCTATTGTAGTAGTATTCAGATATAGATTGTAATTTGCTTTGAGATTAGCATTGTCTAGGATAAATTTATGTTGCACTAATCTCAAATTAAATTCAGTGATTTCTATGTTGATTCTAAAACAATTATACCAAAATATTACTTATTTATTTTTGTAATCAGATAAATGGATGATAGCAATTTTTTCAGACTATCAACTTGCACAAATCTCATCATCACTATCATCTACAAGAATAAGCTATGATATAATAATCAATGTTATGAAATATATCCTATCAGTTCATACTTACACAGTCTCTACGGACAGTGGCAAACAATTGCCTCACCTAGCAAATAGAAAATATACATAATTTTCAGGACTTTGAATTTTCCCGCATTTTTTCGACAATATGTCTACTCTTTTCCTCGATATTTCGTCTCTTTTCTTCGAGCTTCTCTCCCATTTTCTTTCCTAGATCCATCATTCTCGCTCGCCGGCCCACCCGTTTGGGCTTAGCATCCTCTTCAGAAAAGGCTGATGATGAATCTCCCCTGCTGTGGTTGCTACTATCTAATGTTCCATAGGTTTGCAATAACGGCACCGACAATTCCGTGCTCGTGCCAGCGTCCGACCGTGCATCGCCATAAGGGGTACCACTCGACGAAACTGATCTCGATGCACCGTTTTCAGTTTGGGACGAAAAAGACTTCGGGACATGATCGATGGGTGATTTCGATACATAAACTACATCCTTTACTTTTTCAGTTTTATCATCAGGTTTAGGTCCACTGGGAGAATCGGTGGTAGGCTTTGTTTTTAGATCTCCGGCAGGGCCGGCGGCTACATCGAGACCCGGCTTGCTCGTATTCATGGCTTCCTGGCTGATTCGGATGAGCGGAGCAGCGTTTTGAGGAAGCCAGTCATCCTTTTCTGCCAACATCCATGGAATGCAGATGCTTTCGCAATTTGGGAGGACCAGATTGTCACGAACTGCAGCCTACCAATTACAAAAAAAGGAAAAAAAAAAAAACAGAAGATTTACAAACATACAACTTAATTCTTATATATTTACATTATGAACACCTAAACTTTAATTTTAAAGTGCACCTATGTAAGAAAAAGGTGTATTTTTATTTGATATGAAAGATTTGGGTGGCAAGAATGTAAGTAGTAAAGTTTAGGTGTTAGATATGCAAATACATAGAAATTGGGGGTATGCATGTAAATGCCCCAAAAAGAAGAAAAAGGAAGGTACCACTCAATATCAATATATTTAACCACTCAATATCAATATATTTAAAATATCTAACACCTAAAATTTAAGTTTTACAAACTGTCATTTTATCTAAGCAAGATGAAGTGTATTTCACCTTTTAAAAGTTCAAATGGTGAAATTTTTTGTGCAATGAAAGCTTTGGCTGGCATGAATGTATAAAGTAAAGTTTAGGTGTTAGATATGTAAATGCATAAAAATTGGGTAGTTTGTATGTAAATGCCCCAAAAGAAAAAAATATTTACATGCATGCCACTAATTTATAGATATTTACATATCTAATGCCTAAACTTTATTTTTACATACATACCACTTTGTCTATGCATGATGACGTGTATTTTACATCTTTGAAGTTAATACGATGTTATTTTTGATGTGATATGAAAGATTTAGGTGACTCGAATAGCGTTAGATATGTAAATACATAGGAATTGGTTGGTATGCATGTAAATGCCCCCAAATAAAATGTAGTAAAGAAACTTTTCTAACAATCATGTATTCATTGAATAAAAATTTGTTACCTTAAATCGATTCCCCATGAGCAAAGCGATGCGAGTGCTTGTAATTTTTCTGTCTCCAACGGAAGATTCCAATTGCCAATCTATATCAGGCATGGATGTGAATCCAAACCATAACCGATCAGAAGGTGGAGGTCTTATGTGAAAGCGCAGCGATCCTCGGAGAGATGCAATTTTTATGGACAAGGAAAGGGGCACCTTACATTTAGAAGGAAGAGGAGGAAGAGAAGAAGAAAATTGCAGTGTCAGAAGCTCGCATGGAATTTATCTAAGCAATGAATACTTGAATCGACATTAACCGAAGCATGATCAAATGAGAGGGACGTAGGATAAAAAATTGAGTAGCTGTTTTCTGTTTCACTAATGCTAAAATTTCTTAGAGTCTGTTTGACATCATTTTAATTTTTTATTTTTATTTTTTTCCTTTTATCTCTAAAAATATTATTTAATGTGCTCTTCTATGTGTTTTTCTTATTTTTTGTTTCTATGAAGAAACTTACATGTTTTTTAAAAGACAAAATAATTTTTATGTGTTTTAAAAAACAACTATACATTAATCAAATACCGAAACATATCTGTTTCAAATAAAAACATAAAAAAAAGAAAAGATGGTAAAAGACAATCAAGCAGCAGCAACATAAGTAAAAGATAGTAATTACAAGATCTAATTAGCAGATAGTTGGTAATTAGATCTTGTAATTACTATCTAACACCCATCGATCAATCCAAGTAACTCTAGAAGGCTCCACCGTATTCTAGAGAATATTAGAAGAAAAAACACAAAGAATAAACTAAAAAGATCTAGGGCTGTATGTATATAAGAGAATGATGTATAACTATCTAGAAACTAGACTAATCTAATTTAAAATAAAAAATTTGCTTAAACTTGAAGGGGAATATAAATAGGAGTCCTTCCCCCTCATTTGGAACCATCCAAGGTTCCCATGCATTAAAGTGTTGTGATCACTATTTCTTAGTGAAGTATTTCTTTCTCCAATATTTCTCCCTATTCTTCTTCCTAAAGTGTTTTGTGCTTACAAGTCCAAGAGTAGTGAAAGTTAGCTGATTTAGTGCCAAAAAAGAGCATTGAAACTGCACGGATAACTTGAGATAAGAGTCTGTGACATTTGGTATCAAAGCCAGAGTTCGAAGATATGGTAAAGGGTTTTAAAGAGCATGTCATGTTGTCTGAAGCCATAAATGTGGAGCAATCTCAACAGGGACGAGGTGGCGACAAGCAACAGAATCCTACTGCATCCAAACCACATGGGAGGTCGAAGGAGCTCATATATGACTTTGATTCACGCCTTACTCGAGTAGAGGAGGCTATGAACGTCATGGAGGCTCGACTAGAGGATCAAGACCAAAAGGTGGATGACCTTGAGAAGGAGGACATCAACATTCATTCCACAATCAAATGCATGATGTTTCAACCGGAGAAATCAATTTCTTTTAAAGACCAATTGGTGAAGATGCGAGAAAATCTAATGGAGTTCATCAATGTATAACGGTCTCATGAAGAAGAGATAAACAACCTACGTGACATATTGGAGGAGATACGTGGAGATATTTCACTATGCAAGGAAGCATTAGCAACATCCACAAGCAATCATACTTTCGAAGCCAAACACATTGAAGTACCAAAACCTAAGAATTTTGGGGGAGCTCACAACACAATGGAAGTAGACAACTTCCTATGAGAACTCGACCAATGCTTTGGACCGATGGGGATTACGGATGAAGATGCAAGAATAAAATTTGTAGCTCTTTGTCTCTCAGACATCGCTATGTTATGGTGGACAAGAAGGTGTAGAGACATCGAGAAAGGTATATGCACCATATCCACCTTTGATGACTTCAAAAAAGAGCTAAAGCGGCAATTATACCCTGAGAACGCAGAGGATGAGGCTAGAGCTCGGTTAAGAAGGCTCAAGCAAACGGGATCGATTCGGGAATATATTAAGGAGTTTACTAGCCTGGTCCTTGAAATTCCCGACCTATCTGACAAGGATGCTTTGTTCAACTTCAAGGATCAACTCCAGCAGTGGGCGAAGACTAAGCTTAGGAGGCTTGGAGTGCAAGACCTAGCTACTGTCATCGCCGTCACAGATAGTTTGGTGGACCATACAAATGAGTCTACAAAGCTAAGGGAGAAGAAGAGTAACTATGTCACAAGTGGGGGAGACAAGGACCAACACGAGGAAAAGGCCCGTCGCGAATCGACCCCATCCAAGGCAAAAGCCAAGGGGAAGTCTAAAAAAAACAAACTTAAACCACACAAAAACTGCTTCCTTTGTGGAGGACCTCATTGGGCAAGGGATTGCCCTCAGAGAAGACCATGAACTCTCTTTGCAAGCCATCAAAATGAAGAATGAAGCGATATGGCAGTCCAAGTGCGAACAATGCAACTGCTCAATGTGGTGCATTCCTATCCGAAAATTCCGACAAAAGGACTTCTCTTCGTGGAGATGATTATAAGTGGGTCATTTACTAAAGACATGATAGATACCAGAGCTTCTCACAACTTCATCTCTATTGAAGAAGCGAAGAGGATGGGTCTACAAATAACTAAAGGAGGAGACTCCATCAAATAAGTCAAATCAACGGCTAGGTCAATCTACGGAGTGCAAAAAAGGTGAAGACCTGTGCTAGAGATTGATCAGGTACGTCGAATTTCTCCATGATTTCAAAGTAATCCTTGGTCTAGAATTCTTGGATCGAATGAGAGTGTTCCCAATACCATTTGTCAATATCATGTGCATCGTGGAGGACAACCAAGCTTGCCTAGTACCGACAACAAGGATTGTCACGCAAGAAGCCAAAAATGTTATCGGTCATTCAATTCAATAAGGGCATTCGACAAGAGGAGGAGAGTTATTTGGCTATTCTTCATGACTCCGATGAAGAATGAAAGCCCCAAGAAGACATGTCAAGGGAAGTAGTGGCAGTACTTGAGGAATTCAAAGATGTTTCACCACCAGAATTACCAAAAGAACTACCACCAAAAAGAGAGATCGATCATCAGATCGAGCTGAAATCAATGGGAGGTTATCGCATGACACCTCAAGAACTGGCAGAGCTACGCAAACAATTGAAGGAGTTGTTGGAGGCAGGATTCATCCAACCATCTAAAGCCCCATATGGTGCCCCAGTTCAATTTCAGAAAAGAAAAGATGGTTCTCTGCGCATATGCATAGACTACAGGGCTTTAAACAAAATTATCGTAAAGAACAAATACCCAATTCCTCTCATTGCTGACCGATTTGATCAACTGAGGAGCGCAAGGTATTTCTCAAAATTGGATCTTCGATCAGGTTACTATCAAGAGAAGATAACAGAAGGGGAAGAACCGAAGACCACTTGCGTGACTAGGTATGAGTTGTTTGAATTTTTAGTTATTCCTTTTGGGTTAATCAGTGCTTCTACTACATTTTGCACCTTGATGAACAAAATATTAAACCATACTTGGAACGTTTGTTGTTGTCTACCTGGATTACATAGTGGTGTATAACAACACACTCCAAGATCACCTAAGACATCTCTGAGAAGTATTCGAAGTACTAAAAGATAAACTACTACCGACAATTCATAAAGGGCTATTCTGCAAAAGCTGCTCCGTTGACGGACCTACTCAAGAATAAGTCAAGTGCAAGGAATAGCATGTGTCAAAAAGCATTTGAAGCATTTGAAGATCTCAAGAAGGGCAATCAATGAAGAATTTGTACCTAGCCTTCCTGATCATACCAAGGAGTATGAAATGCACATTGACATCGATGTGTTTGACTTCGCTATAGGGGGAGTACTTATGCAAGATGGACATCCAATTGCGTACGAAAAATGGAAACTCAATGAGATGAATCGTCGCTACACAGTTCAAGAAAAGGAGATGATGGCTATCATAAATTACCTTAGAGTATGGAGACACTACCTACTTGGCTCTAAATTCAAGGTCATGACAGACAATATCAGACACATGCCAAACAACAGAACATACAATCATTTCACAAGTCTCCAGCTCCCTCATAAGCAAAATCAAAGAAGGGTTGAACTCTAATCCACAAGCCCAAAGTATTATTGCTCTGATGAAGGAAGAGAAAACCAAAAAATTCTGGATAAATGAAGATGTCCTCTACTACCGAAGTTGGATGGATTTGGAAGCATCCTAGTTGTGGTAGATAAATTCAACAAATATGCAACATTCATTGTTGCTCCTGCAAACTATACTGTCGAAGAAGCTGCAAAGCTCTTTTACTGCAATGCGGTGAAGCTATGGGGAATACCACAGAGCATTATTAGTTGTAGGGATCCTCGCTTCACCGAGAGATTTTAGACTGAACTATACAAGATGTTGGGTCAGATTTAAACTTTCTACAAGCTTTCATCCTCAAAAGTGACGGTTAGACTGAGAGGATGAATGCCCTCTTGGAGCTATATTAGCATCACTATGTGAGTACAAATTAATAAAATTGAACCAAATTGTTTGATGCGACACAATTCTCTTTTAATTTGCAAATAAGCGAAGCCGTCAACAAGAGCCCTTTCAAGATAATCATGGGACAACTCATGACTCCCCTCTTCCTTACAACCAACTATGAAGGAAAAAGTTTAGCAGCCTTCAAGTTTGTTAAGTCTCGGAATGAGCAAAGGGAGTTAGCTCGAGAACATTACACAAGGCTGCTAGAAGAATGAAGAAATGGGTAGACAAAAAGAGAAGGTATATTGAGTTTAAAGGAGATTTAGTCCTTGTAAAACTTCTACCCCAACAATTCAAAATATTTTGAAAGGTACATAAAGGGTTGATTCGAAGATACGAAGAGCCTTTCGAGGTGATGAAACAGGCGATAAATGTCTCCTACCTACAAACTCAACCTTCCACCAAAATTAAAGATACATCCAGTATTTCATGTAAGCATGTTGAAGCCCTATTATGAAGACATGGAAGACCCTTTAAGAGGGATTTCTAAGTGAGCGCCTACAACCGCAATCACCTCTTTTGATAAAGTTGAAGAAATACTGGCAGACAGGGCAATTAGACGATGAGGGGTGCCAAACTACAATGAGTATGTCTCATGAAGTGGAAAAAATTGCCTGATAGCGAAGCTAGATGGGAGAATGAAGGCACACTATGACAATTCAAAGAAAAGATCCAACAACATCAGGAGGATGGCGCAATGAGGGGAGAGTGTCACACTCCGCCATGTTCAAAGAAATTGACAAGACAACCATCGGATGGAATGTTCTAGAGAAAAGCAGAAGGAGAAGAGCAATCCAAGTAACTCTAGAAGAGAAAAAAACATATTAGAAGAAAAAGCTCTAAGGAGAATTCAAGAATAACCTAGAAAGATCTAGTGATACGTATGTATATAAAAGAATGGTGTAAAGCTATCACAAAACTGGACTATTCTCATGTAATCTAAAAAATTCTCTTAGACTTAGAGGGGACAATAACTAAGAGTCCCTCCCCCTCATTTGGAACAATACAAGGTTCCCAAGCATTCAAGTGTTGTAATAACTCTTGTTAGTGAAGTGTTTCTTTCTCCAATGCTTCTCCCTACTCTCCTTCCTAGGGTGTCTTGTGCTTACAAGTCCAAACGTTGTGAGAGTTAAGTTGATTTAGTGCTAAGAAAGAGCATTAAAGCTGCACGGGTGACTTGAGATAAGTTAGTTCATGACATGCTGCTCCTCTAAACAACAAAAGTAATACCTATTGTATATGATACCGAATGGAGAGTAATACCGAAGTTAACCCAAAGCACAATCAAAATGAAAATATAATTGCTAAAATTCAATACTAATACAAACAAAAGTCTTGACAATAGGAAAATAATCAACACACATAAAAAACATCCTAGGATGAGGGTGAAAGTGGTGAACATCAGCACGACTGGTGAGGGCTGCGACAGCAACTAAAGGGCTGTGGTGGGGTGGCGGCAGCAAGGTAAGGTGCTGGATGAGGTTGTGGTAGCAGGGTGGAGTGCTGGAGGAGTTTGGCAACAATAAGGAGGGAGCCTGGAGGGATGTGAGACAGAAAAAAGGGTGGTTGGGGCTCTCGGCAACAAGCAGGAAAAGGGAAGGAAAGGGCTGGACGATGGTTGGACAGCAGCAAACTGCTGGCAGAGCAATTCCAGAAGAGACAACGGCAAATCCAGCAGCTGGGATAAGGTTGGGGAAGCGGGGAATTGTAGATAAACACCACCTCAAGAGTTACAGTTGAAGTACCTTCTTGCCTTTAGATACAACATTCAAAGAGAAAACTTGGACACAAACGGCTCTCCTGACAGAAAATTTAGCAAAAACTAACCCTAAATAAAGCAAAGAACATATTTATAATAGTAGACAAGTAAGAAGAACTTGGGCGGCAACCCTAACCCAAATAGTTGGGCCAGCCGGCCCCCTTCCCTAGACCGGTCCAACTGTTCCAGTTGGACCAGCAGCCAGTTCAGTAGAGCCCGCTTAACAAGCTCACATCCTCTAATCAACATCATCATCACAGCAATATATCAACTTCTTGCTTATATGATCAATAGAGAGCAGCACTTATATCCTAAAGCGGTTAACTAAATAGGCATGATCTAAACTCATGGTAATACCGGGTCATTCTAGGTCTAGAACTGTCATATAAAAATGCAATATAAAAATACTGTTATTTAAGGCAATGAAATGTAAAAGGAAAATTAGAAATGAAAGTTTTATTTTCCATTATGATGCAAGAAAAAAAAATGCATTTTCATTGAAAAAACATTTGGAAGCAAGTTAACACAAATACTTATTTACTGCCATGAAATAAACTAAAGAATAAAGAATCAAATTCACATGAAATTTAATTTGATTTAAGATCGCAGGAGATTTAAGATCAACAGAACAGAACGGGTAGCACAGATTTATGCAATGAAATAATCACAATCAGTAAGTCACAAAATCGAAAAGAGTACAAGTTGGAAGATAAATAAATCTAGGGAAAAGAAATATGAACTGAATGGATGACACTGTATTCCAACAACTCCTAAAGCATCAGACAAATTAGTTCAAATCCAATAGAATCTCCAGGAACTGACAAAGCCAGGATTAAAGGATATTTTTTGAAATTGCATTTCTTCCAAGGAACCCTCTCACATCTAGAAATCTGATACGAATTGGCACGATTGTCCATAGAAATTAAGGCAAACATATATTTTATGCAAGACAAAGATAAGTAACTAAAATTCAAGAGTTAGGCAATCTCCACCAATTCATACATTTCAAGATGTAGAAAATCTCTCCCAAACCCTAAACATATAAGACTCACAAAAGTAATGTCATGCATACCTAACTCTAAACCTATTAGGATCTATTTATACTAAACAATAATAAATAATAGAAGACTCAATTGCCATTAGGGCTAATAAAATATTAAATCCCCCATAAGAATAGGCTGGCGTAACAAAATCATATCATAAGATTGTATTGCTCATTAGAACAGAACAGACCATATAATTTGAGATGATCAATAATTTTACACTTACTGAAAAAGCCAAGCAAATGATTGATCTCAGTAGTGCCCTACTTAGTTTTAGTAGTTTTATTCGAAATTTTCCTTTTAGTTTCAGTTTGGTTAAACATGCCTGTGATGATACTAAAAAGAACCTTATGTATTCTCTTAATATTTTTTATTCCCTAGTTGAGGTAGACAGTGGTTCAGATATTGATTAATTGGCTTGCAAGAGGATTTAATCAGTTCAATTTGCAAGAGGATCAATGGTTCTATCCTAATTGCTAGGTTTTGTAATGTAATTTGACACTAGTAATGTGGTCCCTTAAGCAAATTCCGATTTTCTCATGCTTGACTAAATTAGGGGTTACTATTTCCCATGATATCCTCTATTTCATGCTATATATTTCACTGGTTAAGCCCTAATGGTTCCATTTTTCCACTCTTATACTTGTCACATGGCTAACTATGGAGTCATAGTGAACAATAGTTGAAATTGTCTGTGGCTGAGCACGTATGGTTTTTTTCCAACTTTTGCATCAAGAGACGACAAATAGAATAAATTGAAGTTGAAAAATATCAAAACCAAAAGCATGTAAAAATGACTTTTGTCTTCATAAAAGATTCAAAATTTTGTTCAAACTGTTGAATATTGATTCCATCGAGCGCAATGCAAAAGAGATTACTAATTCTCAAGGAAAGAAATATCCTTGTACATTCTTGAGGCTCAATTTTTTTCTCTATATGTTGAATTCTTTCCATGTTTTGTTAAAATTTAATTCGATATTTTTTTTTGCAAGTGATCAAATCAGTTACGAAGCTTAATTAAGCTTTAGTTTTAAATGATTTCAAATTTTCGCTGAATTTATTTGATTTAACCGATTATTGAATTATCATTTGGCATGAATTTTTCATATTTTCCTAATTGCATTAAAATTTAGTGAATATCCATTTTAATTAATGGTCTTTTGAATAACAAATTTTTAATCTAAATTGTGTGTTTTCATACATCCCATCATCTAATTGCATTAGAAATCCTATATCCTAAAAAGCGTGCATCAAATTGACACCAAAGCTTATGGACGCATCATCACACATCTAGCATCACACATCTAGAAGTATGACATAACAATTGTGTTATTGTGTCAGTAAAAAAAATTGAAGTATATCATAATAATTGTGTAAGCAAGAAAATTAATAAATAATGAAGTTTAAATAGAATCAGTAAATTTATTATTTTAGATAAATGCAATGCAACTTTAATGATGTACACAATTACAGGCTAACATTCGATGGGAGGTATAATCTTAAGAGAATTTTCAAATTGTATCAATAATAGGAAAGATTTTCTTAAACATTATGATATGTTGATTTCTAAAAAGTTGAATCGCTATCAAAAAACTATGGAGGCATCCTCAGTCGATTCGGCGAAGTGTTACTATTAAATTCATATATAAAATATAAACATAAGCATTAAAAGCAAAAATTACCATTTAGTGAACATTGAAAACAATATCATTTGTGTTTTTATTGAATGTTTACTAATTGTGAACAAAATATTCATTGTTTCTATACTGCTATGTTACCATAATATATTTCATCAAGGGTTTTATGTTAGAGATTAAGGATGCAGTAAACTAAAATTCATGATTAAAAAAATTCCAAGAGAATGAACTTTAAATAAATGTCACAAAACAAAATAAATAACATCTCCTTTGACTCTTGTCATACACATCAATGAAAGAACTTTTTATGAGTGATTTTAATCTTATGAAATAACTACAATTCATGAATATTTTCAAGATGATAAATTAAATACAGAAGATGATTTGTAGACACAAAATGAACCTACGTCTGATGATTTTGAATCTGAAATCAGCCCCACAGCTATATTAAACCATGGTCATGGTCCTGAACCTATGCTTAAACAAGAGTCAAATTAAAATTCAAAAGCAAAGTTGAGTATGAGATCCTACACGAGTCTCAATCTCCAATGATTATTTATTCTATGCCTTCGCGTGAAACTAAAAAAATCATGTCTATTATAACTAGTCAATCAAAAGAGCAATCTAAAAATGCTGCTCTTCAAAAAAATTATTATTTGATTGGTCATCTTTTGAAAATTTAAATTACAATTTGAATTGTGTACATTTATGTAACAAATCGCATAGTTGCATAGGAAACCAAAGTCTTTAGACTTATTGCATCATTTTTGGCTTCTAAATAGCTTATACCTCCATCAAAAAAACAAAAAAAGGTTGATAAAAATTTAAAAATCCTACGTAGTAATGTCTTAAGTTGCACATACCAGTTCAGTTGCAAAGATCTCATTAAAGCAGTCATTACTACATAGCTCAGCTACCATCTACCGTTTTTTTTTTTTATAATCAATTAAAATTCTTTACATACTACAACAAATCATAACTGTTTTTCCAAGGAAAAAAAGAAAGAGAAACCAATGAATGAGAAAAGCAAGCTAGGCTAACTAACCATTTTATTACATACCTGTGAAACTTGTTCGGCAATAGAATGTAGAATAGTTTTCCACTTTGATTTGCTAACTGCAGCAGGAGTTGAGATCTTTGATTGCTTCAAGTAATCTAAAAAAATAGAAAGAGATGAAAGAATAAAAGTAGAAAAGCCCATCATAGACTTAGCATACGATGTCGCAAGTTAAGGCCTTCTAAATTGTTAAAAATATACTTATGTCAAACTATTTTTCAACATACTAAGTATTGTTTCAACTACAGCACATGATGATTAAGCAAACTAATAGATGAAGATAAAAGCAAAAAAAAAAAAAAACAAATTTCCATCTATAGATTAACCTGCCCATGTATAGACCCATAAACATGGATACATCCTAATTGGCAAATGACAAAGCATGTGTCATACGCTTTATTCTGCACATTCAAATCTTGCTTCATTTGTTGAGCAATGTCGACCTTCTATGTTGCACAGATATAGACACGGGACACGGACACAACACAACGCGACACGAATATGGAACACGTCCATTATTGAAAATATAATACACAGACAAGCATTGGACACGCAATTATAATAAAATTTATTAAAATAAATATAAAAATTAAATAAACAAAATATTAAGAATAATACAAAAGAGTCAAAATTTTAATAACACTAATTTTTAAAAACTAAGAGTTCGTTTGACATCCTTTTTGTTTCATATTTTAGTTGATATAATTTTTATATATTTTATTTGTATCTTTAAAAAGAAATTAAACTGTATCTAAAAATAATCAAAATATATAAAAAAATTAGCATATATTAATTTGTATTACTTCAGGATGTAGGCCCACTTAATCAATTATTCATTAAAAAGTAATAAAATGATCGAACTTCTTTAACACCAAATTCTTATATATTTACATATATAACACCTAAATTTGATTTTTCTTTTATGACACCCAATCTTTAACATCACATCTAATATACCACTATTTTTAATTTTAAAAAGCAAAATGCATATTCTCATATATATGTAAGGTATGTAAAAGTTAAAATTTATGACACCCGAACCAGCCCTCCCAGCTGTTGTCTAGCTGTCAACCACCACCTTTGTCCTTCAACTAGGGTGTTCTTTGTGTTTGTTTGTCGCTTATTTCCTACTTTGATGAGTCCTGTTGTAACAATGTTGAATTCAATAATAATATTTTCATTTTTATTGTGGTTTAGGTTTACTTCGATAGCATGTGCATTCAACTTGATCTGCCCTTCTTCTTTTGTAATCACCCAACACCCGTCTGTACTGATCTGCATCAAGGGCATTAGGGCATCAACGAAGCCCTAATATGCTACAAGTCGGTTTGTCTGCTTTAATCTAAGTTAACCTGCTCTTTTGGCTTTTTTTGTTTCTTATTATAATTATTTATTTTCTCTTTATTTCAATGTAATTTTGTGCATAAATACCTATCAAAAGAATAGACAATCCAAAATTTCGCAACAATTTCTTTTCTACATAGCATCTAAGCGAGGTCATGATTTCGTGCTCTCAAACATTGTTATCGATTGACAATCCCTACATGAATGAAACAACCAAAATACTAGTGAGTAGCTTTTTTGTGTTATTATAATTATTTATTTTCTTTTTATTTTGATGTAATTTTGTGCATAAATACCTATCAAAAGAATGAACTATCCAAAGTTTTGCAACAATTGCTTTTCTACATGGTATTTGAGTATGATCAGGGTATCCTACTCCCAACTAAAGTTATTCCTCCTCTTTCTCACATCTCTTTCTTAGAGTTTTTACGTCCATTTAATATATCCAATTTCTTTGAATTTCCTTCTAAGGATTACATCATGAATGATGAAAATCATACTATTAGGAGAACTCCATTTAATATATCCAATTTCTTTGAATTTCCTTCTAAGGATTACATCATGAATGATGAAAATCATACTATAGGAGAACTCCAGGAACTTCAAACCTCAAATTGTTTGAATGGGAGAAACTGTTTGAAGTGTTGCCATAACGTGAATACCTTTCTAAAAGAAAATGAAAATTTTGAATATCCTATGAATCTACCTCAAGAACCTAATTACCTAAACTTCATACTTTGGGGTAAAAAACATATCAAGGGAGTGCTAGATAAGAAAATCAGATGAAAAGTATTCATTGCTTATAAGAAAATACCTCTACCATGAATTTGTATTTAAAAAAAGACGCACAAATTGCTCACTTCACATCAATCAACAATTTCTAAACAAATCAAAATGTGGGATAACTAGGGCCAGTTTTTTTATGTTTGTTATTATAAGTACTTCTTTCTTTTTTAATGTAATTTTGCATATAAATAACCATAAAATGAAAGAAGAATCCAAGCTTTCATTAAAAAAAAAAAAGTTCTGCAACAACATTTATCAAATAGCTTTGTCCTGCTACTTGATAGTTGTCATTATATTCATATTTTATAGTTATCACAACTATAATTTATGTATCAATGAAGTAAACGCAGCTTCAAAGCATCCATTCTTGAATTTGAAACATGCAGGGCATGTTGCAGAAGCTAAACTATGCAAGTCACTATGATAAGATGGAGTATTATCTCATTTCACTATCAAAACACTTCTGATGAAATTGAAAAGCATGACTCTAAATATGGACGTACAACGTCTTACATATCACGGATATAGGAATGCTCATATGAGAAGATGATGACTAAAGAAAATATCATGCTTTGAATCAATTTGGCGAAAATGGAAGCAATTTTAAAATACAACTAAATATGTTGCTCCTAAATCTTTTTAAATACCTACATGAATTATACTTGTTTGAGAAAAACTCTGAAATCCACTTTGGTTAGATCTTACAACATTTATATGTTCTTCATCATTGTACTTCCAATCCTAAACTTATTGACCAATTGTTCAAATATTAGAATCAAACTGCAAAGTATTCTTTAGATTGTTCTTTGTAACTACAATATAAAGATAGAAATGTTTTCCTTATGTCATTTTAATCGTGCAGAAAATGCTACTAAAGTTTCTTTCATCCACAGAGTGCTTGCTAGTCTATGAATGAACTTCTATATGTTGAGTGGACTAATGAAGAAATTTGACAAATAAGTAGATAAAAAGACACCTCCAGGAAGTGATTTTGTTCCATAAAATTAACTAATCCATAATGAAATGAAAGGCTTCATGGAATAGGTGAATTGTCAATTGGGCAACTGCAGCAAGCATACTATTGATTTTAAAATTGCAAGCCAAGCATACAGACACCCGATACCACAATGATAAACATGTCTTCGATGCTAAGCAGAATTTGAGCTAATCACTATCAAGGAAGAGATGGTGGCAGAGCAAGGTGAACATTAGTTTAAAATAAACGAGGATGGCTATGAAGAACCAATTGGGCTAGCCTAGGATGTCTTCTGCAGCTACAAGAACATGGATAGTTAAAGGGATTGGCTTAGTTTTTGCTTTCCATAAAAAAGAGAGGAAATACAAATGAAACTCACCGAGTTGCTAGCAGAATAAGATATCTGATGCTGAGGGAGCTTTCTCAGAAAGCTGATAAAGCATACAGGATGCTGCAGCTAAAAAAACTAATAAGGTATGCAAGATAAAAGTTGCCTGTTTTTTGCTAAAGTTCGTGGCATAAAATGCTGAACTGGTGGTGGACATGACAGATAAGCCAGTTTAATCATATATGATGTATGTAATACACAAAAATTTTACGGCTTAGCTACAGTATTAATCTGTGAGAATTTCTTTTTAGAGTATAATCACTTACCAACGATAAGAGAAGTTCATTTTTGAATGTGAAGTAAAAGTAAAAAAAAAAACCAAATAGGTTTGGTTAACTTCTGCTATTGGAAAATTTTCTTCGAAAGGCCTGCTCAATATCCTTTAAAAGAGCAAAATATAAGGAAATTGAGTAATAAAAGTAATAAGGATGAGGTGATGATTGCCAAAAACTAGAATGAGATATGAGAAGAAAAATTGTGGATAATGGCTTCCATTTTTGCATTAAGCATAAAAAATATAAAGTAGTGGAGTTAGTACACGTCAAACTGTTCATATATTTTGGAGCATATAAACTAGAAAGCTAAGATGAAATTAAAATGGTTCAAACTAATTCTGTTCATGTAAACATATATCTTCACAAACCTGCTTCAACCCTTTCATCTCTTTCATCTAACTGATCTTCTAAGGAGGTAGAAGGATTTAATTGATGGCTGTAGTATTCAATTCCCTCAAGAAGACTGGATGTCTCTTCGTTATAATTTGTTTCGGAGCTAGCATTGATGAACTCTTCCTGCAGCTCTGGTGCACAAACTTCAATTCTTGTTTCAATGTCCAAGAGTAAACCACCCAAATATTCAATGTCAAACTCCACCGCCCAAACCTCTGTCAAATCCATGGGAAGAACCCTAATTTTATGAATATAAGGTGGAAGATTTCCAAGATCTAGGCTTGCACATGTAATTCCACCAATGTAGCTAGGAGTTCGCATATTAGACAATGTTTTCTGCAAGAAGAACAACGTTATATGGCTTAAATCCTGAGATCAAGAACGCAAATGAGTAAAAATAAAGGAGTCTTATTGAACACAATTCTAATGTATTTACATATCTCACATCTAAACTTTCATATTTACACAACTAGCACTCAAATCTATAATATCACATCACATCAAAAATAGTATTATTATCACTTTTTAAAATTGAAATACACCTTCTCATGCATAGGTTTAAGCATCAAGTGCCATGCATGTAAATATGAACGTTTAGCTGCGAGACATATAAATACATAAGAATTGTGTGCTAAGTACGCAAATTTCCCAAAAATAAAATATCTTACCTGGATGCGAGACTTCACCAAACTGTTGATTTCAGCACTTCCTTTTACATCAAAAAACAGTCGTGACAATAGCAAATTCCAACACAAAGTGCCATCATCGCCAAAAAGCTTATCATCAAAAACTGTATCAGACGTGATGGGACCCTTATTTCCTATTTGCACAAGATCTTGAAAGGAACTGCTAGAATATTTGTCTTCTAAAGAGCTTTTCATAGATCCTTCAGCTGATGTCACATCGTTCAGTGTGACTAACTTCTCAGTGGACTTCTTGGCATCACGTGTTGACGATAAAACAGGGCTAGATCTACTTTCAACACCACTCTTAGACGTTTTCTTAGTTAGCTTTTTAAGTAAAAAACGAACCTTCGAATAAGATGATGGCCCTTCAACCCTGATAGTTTTCTCTACAATTTCTCCATGCAATGTAGAAGGTTTTAGAAATGAAGGGAATTCAGCACTAAATAATGCCAGATAGTGGTTGAATTCCTTGCTTATTTGGGTGTACCAATTTATCAATTTTTTATCACGTGAGGAGGCAAGACGAAGAGCTTTGCACCAAGATTCTTTCTCCCAAGAAGTATCAAAATACAAGTAAATTGTTTTGCTTCCATCATAGATTGCTGAAGTATTGCTTTCCAGCCTAATGGGGTACCTTTTGGCCCTGTTGCAGAATTATGGAGCAGTATTATATTTTCAAATAATACTTCCCTAGTCAACCTGCCCCAAAATACTTGTCATTGGGTTAATAAGATGACATGATATGATATGACTTCTTAGGCTATTTGAAGATGTCTGAAATCTACCGAAAGTTTTACAATAAGTATGAAATCTACTGAAAGTATTATAATAATTTAAACATACATAAAAAGCATAACAAGCACGAAATGAAATATGTTAGAAGTTATATTAGGAAATAATTTATTCCTATTAGAAGTTATGAGAATTAGATTTATTTCCTAAATTAACTTTATTTCCTTTCCTATTTTAGAATTATTTTCTTGGATTGGATTTATTTCCTTCTCTATTTTAGGCTTTTATATTTTATGTCGTTTTTTTTATCTCCAAATAATTAATATGAATTGATTAATTTGAAAAATTAGGTGTCATATCGTTCATTTCTAGTTATTTCTTTTATATTGTCATTCTTATTCTACGATTCATATAAGAGATACTTATACCCTATTTATATCAATAAAAATATTCCGTATTATTCTGCATTATTCTGAATTCCAATATGATATCGGATCCAAATTCCCTACCCTAGTCACCGGTCCTCCCTTCAGGCCATCGGACTCCCTTCCTGTCATTCTCCTAGCAGGAAGGGAGGGGCGCTTTCACCCCCCTAGTCTCTCTTCTTAATCTGCTCTTTCCAAACATATACCTAGATTTCACATTCGGAGCGCGATGGCGGACAGTTGCATCATGATGGTGTACAAGAAAAGAGCGGCCATCACAGAGCCCCAAAAAAAAAGTTGACAACGATCTCCGAGAAGGTTGGCCTTGCCCAAATGCTGTGTAGTGGCGTTATCATGGACGTGGTGAACGTTGAGCAGTGCTCGTTGCAGAGGTCGGCAACAACGCGATTATGGCCCTGGAGCGTGTCCCTGCAGACAATTGTTCTCAGTTTAGCGTCGCCAGAATGAGCGATACAACCCTAATTAAATAAAACAAGCAGTCGGTGACCATTTTGGTCATGGCGAAAGCCCGCATCGGCCCACTTTGTTGAAGCCTAGATCCTCGAAGCCATTGGCGTCGGCTATGTCGATGAGAACGAGGTCCTCACCCCTGCGAATGAACACCACCATATCAACAAGCACAACTTCCATGTTCCCATCGTGAGGGTGCCGCCATGATCCGTACCAAGGGGAAGGCAGGCATGGGGAACATAGCAAGGTCTTTCGCCATGTTCGTTTTGTTATGGGCGGCATTCGCGCCCTTCGCAACATGGATGACGATGAGGTCTTCTCTTTTGCAAAGAGGATTGTTGCTACTTGTGATCTTGTGACGTAGATCGAGCAACTAGGCTGCCTTCTAGTTGTCCATTCACAGCTGATGGCGTTGCTACTCCCGTCGACACCGCTCTCAAGATGCAGCTCGACTGTGATCGAATATTCATTGGCTATGGTATCTTCATGAGCAGCGCTCTTGCCTGCATACCAAGGGGGAGGCAGGCACGAGGAAAATAGTAGAGGTCCTTCGCCATGTTCGTTCTGCTATGGGTGCATTCACTCACTTCGCAATATGGATGACGATGAGGTCTTCTCTTTTGCAAAGAGGATTGTAGCTCCTTATGATCTTGTGATGCAGACGAAGTAACTTAGCTGCCTTTCGGTTTTCCACTTTGCAGTTGTTGGTGTTGCTACTCCCGCCGACGCCACTCTCATGATGCAGCTTGGTTGTGATGGGGTAATCGTTGGCTCTGGTATCTTCAAGAGCGGCGCTCCTGCCCACAGAGCTAAGGCAATCGTGCAAGCAGTCACCCTGACCAAGAGATCCTCGCCAAAATCAATGTTGGATTAGGGGAGGCTTCATGAGGCAACTCAGTGTTGCCGTCAAGCTCTTTCTTTAAATCATTGTCTAGTTGATGCTCGTTGCAATCTCGGGAATCACATTAAGGGTCTGTTTGGGGCAGTTGCAGCTTATTCAGCTTATCCTGATAAGCTGCTTATTCTGATAATCTGGTGATAAGCAACTGATCCGAATAAACTGTCTGTCTGTTTGGTTTGTGCGTTTAGAGAATAGCTGATTCTGGAAAAATAACCAATCTGCCCCTGTTTTGGATAAGCTGCAGTTGTTTGGTTTGTGTGTTTCGTAAACAACTCATTTGCATATTTTCTTTACACATACACAACAGATTTACATATCTAACACCTAGTTATTAATAATGACATACATTATTAATTTTTTAAAAGTAAAATATACATTTTCATGTATAGATTTATGACATCCAATTTTTGTGTATGTGTAAATATCAAACTTTTGTTGTTAGATATCTAAAATGCATAAGAATCGCGTGAACTCACAGTAGAAAGTTGATATCATAAAAAAAAATCAATTTACTTTCTCAGTCCTATCTATAAATCTTCTCAGTGGCAAGCGACAAAAAATGAAATAAGCCACTTCATTTATATATCACATAAAAAAGATAAGAATAGTGTCAATGACAGAACTAAAAAAGTAAGCCAACATATGTGTCATACAAGCAGCGGTTGCCCTAAAAGAACATGAGCCATCCAAGCTGCAATCGTACACTTTGTGATTTCATCAAAGCTACGGTTGCATAGTATTTTCAAGCTAACATAGTATACTCAACAACTAAAGTTTGGAAGCAACGGTTGCCAACAACAAATCTTTCATAACAGAACTAAAGTTTGAAAACTCATAACTATCATTTCCCAAGCAAGCAATACCACATCTACAATACCACATCTATAGTGCATTTAATATATCTCACACCTGCATTTTACACCAAATCTTCCAGCACAATATCCCCTTGAATAGTAGGAATAACAGAACTTAAAACAATAGTAAGCGTCACTTTAACTTTCATATCAATATGCATATTTTAAGAGATGGTCGAATATATACCCTTATGAACAACTTTTAAACTCAAAATGAACTACTGTTGAAATCAACACTTATCTAAAACAAGATAAATTTGCAAAAATATGAAGCATGCTGTATCCAAAAATCGCTGTTGAGGGCACGCACAGTGAAATACGAAAGTCAAATAAATCTATTATACCCACAACCGTAGCTTTAAAACTCAAAAGAAAATCACAGCAGAAAGCCATCAAGAAAAACCAACGAAATAAGGGATTTTTTCTTGAAGTCTCCCCTTCAGTCAAACTGGCACTTAAGGAACAATATGCAAAATATTTGTACATGGAATCAAAATAATATTAAAACTTCAAAAAAATTTGTTTCTTTTGAAATAAACTGTTTAGAAAAGAATTTAACTTGGAAATCAAAACAGAAGTGATAACCACAGTAGATCCTTCAAGCAGATGCTCCCTTTAACAATTTCAGCATTGTGTTGCCATTTTGAAATAAATCACCCATAAGCTGAAATCTAATTCAGGTAATTCCAATTAATTCTTCCAAAATACACAAACACAAAGGAAGCGATTCCAAGCACACAAAGGAAGCTTGCAAAGAAGAGATGGCGAGGAGGAGGCAGAGGAGATGTCGAGGGGGTCGAAAGATCCGACGGGAGGAGGAGAAGTAGAAGCGAATGAGACTTAAGGCAGGGGGAGCGAGGGGCGTCAATGACCTTTCACTCGTATGAAACACGGATCAAGCGACGACGGAGTGCTGCGATGTGCTGAATTGGAGAGGGAGATAGAGCTGCGTGAGTTCGACCGGAGAGAGGAGCAGGGCACCAATTGGGTTTTGCGATGGAGGTTCTCTGCCAGAGCTTAGAATGCGGGAGAAGACGACACTCACGAGCGGAGGGCGTATATATCTTTCCCTCGAACGAAACGTGGCCCACGATCCACGTCTAATATTAAAAACCGAACGTCATTTTCAAAAACTCCTTCAAAACATGATATTCAAACACTCGGCGGCATTTTCAAAACGCCACCGCTGTGAATAAGCTCCCCCGAATGCACCCTAAATCAAAAGGGCTGATTCAAGAGGCATATAATAGTTATCTAGAGACATTGCATATACAACCTACTTTTGTTGTTGCTTGGTCCTATATTGTTGGGCTTTTTACGGATGTTGGAGATCTTCATAGAGCTCTTGTATACTACAAAGAAGTTTGCTAAAGAGGAGTTCATCTTTGGTTTAGCGACTCTAAGAAGGTTATTACAAAGGCAAGACTGGATGTATCATTGAATAGAATCTCATCAGCCGGCCTACACGCCCTTCTCCGTCAATTTCTTCTCTGCTGCCAAAAATCTCTATGCAGTAGATCCTCCACTGGAATTTTTCCTGCAACTGACCCTCCTTTGAAGCATTTTTCTGCATCAACCTCCTGAGCTTCTTCCTATATCAGGTATCAGGCACTCCTCCGGAGATTTTCCTGCAACAGGACCTCGACTGGAATTCTCCCTGCAACAAGCTCTCCTCAGGAGCCTTTCATGTAGTAGGAGACCCTCCTTCGGAGCCTTTCCAACAGCAGGCCCTCCTCCGGAGCTTTTCTTGCATCAGACCTTCCTCCGAAATCTTCCTGTCACCGAACCCTCCTCTTAAGCTTTTTCCTTTTTTTTCCTTTTTTTTATGCAGGTCATACCCTGCACTTTTTTCTTGAGGTTATTTACTTCCCCGCAAACTCTCCTACAACATTACTTGTAAAAGCTTTCCATCTAACTACAGACACTGCAACAACCGCAGTCAACTAAAAGTTAGTTATCATGCAAGTTGTCAAATTCACTGCAAACTCCTCTACAGCATTAGTTGTAGAAGTCTTCTGCCAACCTACAAACACTACAGAAACTGTAGCCAACGACAACCACAGTCAACTAGAAGTCAGTTTTTCCTATGGATTGTCTACTTCCCTGCAAACTCCCCTGCAACACTCCCTATGGGAATCTTTTGCAGACACTGCACGAATTGCAGTTAAAGAAAACCACAGTTGTCGACTTCTCTATAAACTCCCCGACAACATTATCTTTAAAATATTTTTCACCTACCTACAGACACAGCAAAAACTGC